CCCCGCCGCAGCCTTGGCTCGCGAGTGCGTGGTGTGCGCGGAGGGCGAGGCCATGGCCGCCCTGGTCCCCTGCGGCCACAACCTCTTCTGCATGGACTGCGCCGTCCGCATCTGCGGGAAGAGCGAGCCCGAGTGCCCCGCCTGCCGCACGCCGGCCACCCAAGCCATTCATATCTTTTCCTAGCGGGGCGGCCCCGGGGGGCGGCGGGGAGGCAGAGGGGCCCACGCGTGTCGCAAACAGCTTTAACTCCTGCAGCAGGCGTCGAGGCCGTCAGCTTGCGGCCCAGCGGCAGCGGCGCCTCGGTCCTTGACAAGTGACAGTATTGAGTGAGCCGGTGATAATAAAGCCGGAGAATTCTCTGTTTGCACTTTTTATTAAGACACCCTGTCCCGTTTCCGGGGTGATCTTAGAACAAACAAAAAAAATAACACGATATTTACAACTCTCACTGGATTTAACAGTGTGGATTCTTGTAGAGACTTCCAGAACAAGGCAGGTGGCTTTGTCCCCCCCCCACACACACACACACATACACACTCCCTTTTTTTGGGGCAAATATACCATTTTGTACATCCGCCACGGGGTGGCCAGCGGAGGGGAGGGAGGGTGTCGAGGGGCGTCCCATCAACAGATTTATAACTTTGGTTTGACTGTGGTATTTTTTGTTTCTGTTTTTTTAAATTAAGACTCAGTGTTGCGGTTTTTCTGTTGTTTTTTAAAAAGGTTTTTAAAGTTTTTTTTATTGTTATTTTTACTTCATACTTCCTGTGTATATGTAGGGAATTTATATTAGATATATGTACTTTACGGAATAAATTTTAAGAACTAAAATATATTTTATTTTAAATAAAGCAACGGACCTTTAATCTTTGACAGCTAAATCACTGATTATATATTTGCTGAACTGATTTAAGGGTTTAAAAAAATTGTATCAAGAGTTTTATTTTTGGACTTGACAGCCTTCCTAATAAAGTTGTTTTCTTATATGTCAGCACTGGCGTCCACATGGTGTGGGAGGACGAGACCCAGGATGGGCGTCCCTGGAGAGGGGCCCCATTGCCCTCCCGCCGTGAGATCCAGAAAAAAGAGATGGGGTTGGCCGCGCGGTGGTGGTGCACGCCTTTAATCCCAGCACTCGGGAGGCAGAGGCAGGGGGGTCTCTGGGTTTGAGGCCAACCTGGGCTACAGAGTGAGATCCAGGGCAGCCAGGGCTACACAGAGAAACCCAGAAAACCAACAATAAAACTGGGTATTGAGATAACAACCAGCCCTCCTGGTGCAGGCCTGGTGCTGTGGTCCCCCCACCATAATAACAGCCCCTCTATTGTCTGGGAAGGCAGCTGCCCCTGGGGCTGTCTGCCTGGTGAGCATGTGGGGACCCGCCACCCACCCCTGAGGGCTGCAGATGCTGTGAGTCAGCCCCACTCACCCAGGAACTGCCCTCCCCACCAAGGCGGGATGGGGAGGCTGTGACCAGAGTCGCATGGTTGCTGCTCAGTGGACGCCACACTGGACAGAGAACCTGGGAGCTGTGACTTGAGGGTGGTGTCGTGCGGCTCTGACATCCGGCAGCGGTCAGGGAGGGGCCGTGGGGACGGGTGGGGGGGTCCTGCAGGCGGGGGATGCGGTACACGGCGACTTAGCACCCGGCAAGTGAGGACGCCACCGAAGGGCAGCTCGGTGAGCCAGGGGGTGTCGGGGTCACAGGAGTGTGGTGGGGGGTCACAGGAGTGTGGTGAGGGGTCACAGGAGTGTGGTGAGGGGTCAC